CTCCCAATAATCATCTGAAAAAATTGCCCAGCATTATCAGACGACGACTAAGATTACAAATAAAGATGACATGACATATTGTTGTCTGTTTGATTATTATTATTTGAAAATGATAACATATTCTCGGGAGTGTGTTTCAAAACAAATGGATTTAATAAATATAATTGCCAAGTAAGATGCATTTTTTTCCACCGACATCTGCAATTTACGCAGGGTTTTAACAAGTCATTTGGATGTTGGTTGTAACGTTAATATGACTATAAATGGATCTGCAATGATTAACTAATTAATGTTTGGAGAATGTGGTGTGGAATTCGTAAAAAGCAATCACATTACAGGCGGCGGTGGCGAGAGTCCAGAATTGCTTTGCAAATGCAATTCTTCCACCTTCAAGCCACTCTGCTTCAGTCATACGCGCTACAATCACCCTGTATACATTTTCAGTGGATAACGATGAGACCGCATACAGCGTCACTGGTTACGTGTCACGCTTAAAGCTTCGAACTGTAACATTCTGATAAACGTTTGATGTTTTTTTTTATTAGTTGCAGTCTATCTGAAACAAAATGCATAATGGAAATCCGGTGACCGTGTTGCCCATTAAAGATAACATTCTTGCAGATTGTCCTGGAAATAAATCAGTTCCCTGCCAGTAAAATATAGAATTTTCACCGCCGGCTCGGGACCGGAGCGATAAGCATTGTCCAGGAGCTCAATTTAAACACGGGCATTGTTTTATACTGCGATCGCATGCCCACTCGTGAATGGGTGATGTCGACCCAGGTAAGACCCGGAACGGGTCGGATCTCGTCCCGTGTCACGAGTTCACGAGCTCTGTGCCACTATCCAGGCCCAGCTCTTCCAAGCGCTCACGCTCTATCCCATTCCATCTCCCCTCGCCTTGCCCGGCCGTCTCAGTCTTCCCCTCCCTACCCTCCTACAACAGAAGCGAATTGAAGATGTGACATCTCGCGGTGGTGAAATGTTAACCACTTTGCCTGGTATGCAGGAGACATAGGTTCGATGCCGACCCTGACGCCACTGTATATTTGGAGTTTGCATGTTCTCCCTTTGGTCGCGTGAATTTTCATCTGGGTCATCCGATTATTCCCTCCACATTTTAGAAACATGCTTTTAAGAGTATTCGGCTGCCATACATTTCCATGTGATAAGCCACTTGGTTGAGCTATCATCTCTCGGCCAGGTCACGTCTGAAGAAGAGACATATAGCTCAGTGCGCCTTACCTGGTAAAATTAAAATTGTTAAACAGTGAATAGTTAGTTAATCGTTTGTTTTTTTTACAGAAAGGGTCCGTGTGTTAAACCACCAATCAGTTCTTCGCCATCTCGAATGTCCACAGGTTTGCTTGTTGTCTAACCATTGCTGCTGAAAAGATGCTCTACCAGAAGGCCGTGCAGCTGAAAAGGTTTGAGGAAAAAATTGTCAATTTTAATGCAGACAGACAAACAATAGAAATAGGTCTTCCTGTCTGCCTATTTATGTTGAAACCACCATTCTCCACAATGACACTTCATTAGTATTCGGTGTTTTACATTGTTTAACAGGTTTTAACATATCGAATGGTTGTGTTAGGTGAAGTTAATCCAAGCTAACGTCGTTTAAATTTGTCTTCTTCCATTGTTTTTATTTTACTCTAGCATGGGCCTGAGGTTCGACTTTAGCGACGGACTCCACCGACTTACTTTCTGACCCCGGTAACGTTTTACGACCCGGTCCCGACGGTTGATTGGGTATTCCAAACATCGAGCCCAGTGCCACCGTAAGGGAGAGGGAGGGGGGGTCTTGGTGTTGTGTCAGCCCAGTGAATCTACCGCGGCCGTTAATCCAGGCCACGCGCACTTTCCCGGTTTACAAACGGGGCTCAACTCGCTTCCTCTGTGGTCATGGAAACGTGACGACGTGTGTACGTTTACCCGACCATCGCCCGTGAGTTGAGAACGCTGTGTTGATGAAACATGTGTTTTCACCTTGTTTCGGTTTCCCCAATGAGCTGAACAAGCACGGCAAACGAGTCAGATGCCACAGGGAACTCTGGGCTGTGTGGGTGGACCCTGCAGAATGACTTGGAGAGATTTTTGGCAACAAGAAATAGTATTATAATTGACGTATCATAACACGCACCTGGAACTAATCAAATAATCCACTGATTTGCGTGTGAGTGTGTTTGTGCGCATACAAAAGGCCAGTGGCTGTACTTCAATTTGTTGTTAGCGTTTGTCGCCGGTGTCCTGCTCGCAACGATTGAAATATTATCCACATTTTCTGCAATTGAGCGGGCTCAATTATCAAGCTACGTACAATTGTTTTGGAAATGTCACAAATACGTTCGTGTGATGTAATATGTAAAAACAATGTATTTTTGCAAAGCTTAACTTCCCACCATATTGTTGTTGACCATGCATACAGAACTGAGCTATGATATCTGGTTAATCCCATCAGCTAAACCCATACCCTGTTATCTGCAAGATGCCTCCCCCCCCCCCCCCCCCACTGATGTTCAGAGATGGATTAAGCAACATAGAGTGATAAAGTAACACATTGTATGTGTTTGCACAATTACTGATTGCTTTGTGAAATGAGGAGCTGGTGTGGGTGTGCCTGCAACAGCACTGAGGAGACAAAAGTGGCCAAGAATGGTGCTGACTTGGAGACACCCTCATGCGCTGCGCCGACTTAAGAGCTTCTCATTAGTGTGGTGCAATAGTGGACATCCAGCCCCTTGGATGTCCACCACCCGTTCAGTAAGGGCCAGGGTTTCAGCAGTGTAGCTATCGGAGTGCACAGCCTGTGCAACTGCACCAGGGCTCGTGAACCGGATGGGAGTCAAGCGGAGGGCTATGAAGAGGCGGGGGCAGAGGTCAGAGGGGCATGGTGGGGGGAATTCTAAAACTAAACTAAACTATTTTTTATTTTACCAGCTAAGGCCCACTGAGCTTATTAGCTCTTTTTGCAGAAGCGGCCTGGTCACAAATGATAGCTCAACGAAGTGGCTTATCATGTGGAAATTTATAGCAGGCAAATACACTAAACGCGTGTTTATTTATTATGTATGTATTTGTATTGAGGCAATGTGCGAGCCCATTACATCACGTTGTGACACACGTATAAACACATGTTGCTAAATGTGGAGGAAAAAACCGGAGGACCCGAAGAAAAATCCACGCTACCACGGGGAGAGAGAGACACGCAAACTCCAAATATACAGCAGCAGGCGTCAGGGTCGGGATCGAACCCACGACCTCCTGTATACCAGGCGAGGTAGTTAACATCTCGCCACCATGATGGCCTTGACAGGGAGTCCCCCGATTCATTGTTTGCACTGAGGCTCATGCCTACTATGCTACGTCACTGGCAACGCGGAACTATGGTGGAGAGTTCTCAGGCAGGGCATTCTGATATCTCCTCAGAGGTCAAATCGATCCATCATCCTTTCAAAGCGAAATAACATAAGTACCACTTTGTGGGAAGTCAGCAGTTTGTTGAATTATTAATGAACAGACTCACTCCCACCAGAGGGATGTGGAATTCCCACCAATGACCAATGACTGCCAATAGTTATCAGGATTGGCTCATGTTCATACGAGCGGGGAATCTCTTTGGCTTTTCCATGGGAGAACAAAAAAAATAGGTAGCTTTAGGCACCGTAATTTGTTCCCTGGGGGAGCGGTGACACGGTGGTTCATGCACTTGCACTATAAACCCAGTGGCCAGAGGTTGATTATGAGCCACCGCTAACATCAGCGGCGAGTGATGTCTGAGACCACCATACTCCTTCACCAACCCACACCGTGATCAGCTTGGTGAAGCATGGTATATAGGTAGGCCTTCATCCAGCAGTAGATAAAAATGGTTGATGATGTATATCAGGCTGTATATCAAAGCACTCAGCATAAGCTATTTTATGCAATAACAAGAGATTTCGTTATGCAAGGCAGACGTGCAGGGTTGCGAATGCTGTCTGTGCAACTCTCAATTCCCACGTTCTAAACCCAATTAGGCGATAGAATAGTGGTTCAGTGGTTAGCCCATTGCTCTATGAACCCGGTGAGTACCAATCCCTGACATGGCTAACGCCAATGGTGAGTGACAAAGGCTGGTAAACAATAATTATTCATTCTGATCGTGATGATAGGGGATTCTGCTGCCATGGTGTCATGGTTAGGGCATAATCAGAATTGCAATCCAGAGGTCGCTGATTCGATTCGATCACCCGATATTTTCAATTCGCAGAGGTGAGGCTTGAGCCGAATTCAGTGTGCAAATTTTTCAAAGCCACCCAATCCGTGTAAGTATGATGACAATGATGACAATTAGCAATTGGCGGGGCACCGCCGCCTCTGTCCACCCAGCAGTATAAAGGGTGAGCGCCACGGACGGCTGATCGACAGGCCGTGCCTGGCGGGGTAAAGTGTGTGGGTACTCCCACCTCTTCCGAGACGTTTGGTCAGCGTGGAAGAGTAGGCCAAAGTTCCCTCTAAGAGGCTGTCTCTCTCGAGCTCCCTGGAGTGGAGGGCCTTCTGCCAGCAGTGGGGCACAGGGCAAAGCAATTGCACGGTGGCACCTTTACCTTTCTCTTTGATAAAACTACAACTATTTTTTTTATTTTACCAGGTAACGCCCACTGAGCTATGCAGCTCTTTTTCAGAAGCCACTCGGCCACAAATGACAGCCCAACGAAGTGGCTTATCACGTAGAAATGCACTGCCGCAAAATATTCGCAACGCGCGTTTCTTCCAAATGTGGAGGGAAAAAGCGGAGGAACCCGGAGAGAAATACACGTGACCAGCACGGGGGAGAGAGACGCGCAAACTCCACATGTACAGCAAGCGTCAGGGTCGGCATCGAACCTCCGACATTCTGTATACCAGGCGAGGCAGCTAACGTCTTGCCACCGCGTTACCCGTGACCGTCCCGACCAAACGCGGCATTCGAAGACGGGGCGGTGATGGCCGCGTGGGTGCGGGCAGCCGGACCCCACCTTGCTGTAGTGAGCGCCGTCCTGCAGGGTGCCGTCACGGTACCAGGTGATCACGGCCGCGGGTTTGGCACGCTCGGCGCGACACGTCAGGTTGTACGGCGTTCCCGCCTTGAGTTGCACCATCGGCCCGTTCTCGATCGTCGGCTCGTCGGGGGGGACTGCGGATGGACACGGTGGGGGGGGGGTCATGTAATTCTTGGTTACTTTCCGTGGTGTTCGTCTCGACGTTTCTCCCGTCCGTCCATCTGTGAGATCCGTTCGTGCTTCCGAGGTGGTTCAGGCTCTGGTGACACACTGTGCAGGATGAGCAGGTAACTGACGACGACCGCCGACACGAGTGTTAAGCGAGCAGTGTGTTCCCTCGTGATATTAAGATTGATTGAGGTGAGCCCTGCCCCTGCAGCTTCTGCTCGTACGACTCGCAGCTTGAAGAAGAATGCTTGGCTTACGCAAACAGTCTAACCAGCTAACATTAATTCAAAATTTCTTCTGCCGATGGTCCGAATGGGAACACTTACTCGAGATGCATTACACTCGTTACGTAACGATGATACGGAGCAGTAAATAATGCATCACGCATGTTGCTAAAATTATTTAAAAGCCTACCACAGACGAATAACAAAATATATCGTTTAAAATGCTATTACATTGCTACATTTACTTTCCTTTACGTCAGAGTATATGAGAGAGTATTTTAGTACGCGAGAGGTTGCAAATTGGACCATGTCAAGTGATTTTCTTTGAAGTCAATTTTGTATATTTCTGACCTGATTATCTGCCACAAAACTCCGTCTGCCGCTGAGAACAAAACTTTTTCTAAGTGGCCTTGGTGTAATATTGTGAAACAAAAGGAAAACAGTGTCACAGAAGTAGTTGTAACTGCAAAGAACAAGAGCTGATTTTAAAGTGCGTGTTATCCATGCTGATGAAAAAACCAATAGGACGTGTTTTATTTTGTCAGTGGGAACATGTGGAATTAAGTTACCATGGAAAACTCAATATGGTTTACCGAGAAAGTGCAACATTAAATCGAGCAATTTGTAATCAAGCATAGACTACGCTTGAGCGATCTGAAGCATCAAGAGTAGGTTTTACACCCGTATGTGTTTATGTATGTCTGTTTGTTGAGCTTCTTTCACACCGTACGTAGCCGACTGTGCTAATCGGAGGTGTGGGTAAAGGACAACAAACTAAACATCAAAAAGATGTTCTAAAGAAACGAGTTTTCAGTCTAGATTTAAAAGTACATAGCGCCAGTGGCTTCCTAATATCGGAAGGAAGAACATTCCAGATGACCACAGAGGCGCGTCTGAAAGTGCACGGCGCAGCAACCGTCTTTGTCCACCCAGAGGTATACACCGTGCACTCTGCTGACATTTCCCACATCATCAGTAGCATTCCGACAGCACACAGATGAAGGTCTCACCGTTCCGTGTCGGACACGGTGGGCTTTCTTTGCCATACTTCACCACGTAGTGAAGGCACGATGGGGCCCCAGGACCAGTTCAGGTATCGTTCGCCACGGATCTTAGCCCTGGTTGTAGATCTAGCTCAGGTCTCCGGGTCGATAGCATTGTAGAATAATTGCGTACATTTAGGTTTCGGTTGTATTCTTTAGAGATTTTATTTTGGCATTGTGCAATAAATGCTCAATGGGGACCTGGTTACACAGCAGAAACCTGGTTACTTCACGAAGTTCAATTGCAGTTTGTCTTTATATAACGTGCACACTTTGTTGTGAGCCATATGGACATTTACACACGTTTAATAATGCTAATAATAAGCCAAAAAGTACAACTTATTTCTTTGCAATATATTAAAAAAAAAACCTTTCCCAATGTTCAAATGAGTGTTGAGCACTATTCTGGTGGTCAATCCTAGGGAATTGTTGAAAATTGCATTGTGACAATGAGGACCAGTATTTGCTTATCAGTTGTAGCAATCACTTCCCACCAGGTGATGATCACATGCTGATCACGCAAAACAAGCCAACCCAATCTTTGAATGTGTGCCGAACAAAACAGTTGGTATTGGGAATTCTACATCTAAGTAAGTTTAATTTGTCATATATTGGAATGGTTCAGTATTTCTGAAGACACTCGTTTGCCTTTTCAGAAGACAGGTTTGCACTGGCTGCACAAAAGACAAATATAGCCACAATAGCCTTTACAGATTTTTCAGTGCAAGTGTTGTTAGCGAGCATCAATTTAAAGGACAGCATAGCAAGATGAGGGGGTGTTGTAGCCAGCACCATGCCTGGCCGCCTTTGTCACCCCCAGTACTGATGTATGTACATTGCACACATTTGTACACAAAGAAAATAAGACTATTCCGGATAGCTGGAGACCGCTGGCATTGTTCCAATCATTTTAAATTGCCAGCATATTGCATTTTGCTTGGGAAGAAACAAGCTCTGTTTTGTTAAATGGCCCCTATTTAGCTATTTCTGCCTCGGGGCAATTCTACCAGATTCTCGAGATGCAAGGAGTTGCCAGGCAAGATCTCAAGAGTGGGGAAAGCACACTATGCAAGCCGCAGATATCCATTTAACCCTTTCCCATTCCGATGAAGTACGTGTACGTTTTTCTTCCAGTTCCATTCCAATGACGCACGCATAAAATAAAATAACTTTACCGTTACCGAGGCTCCCATAAGGCCATGCGGGAGGGCAAGCGGCACAGTTTGGTGCCAGCTATCGTAGAGTGCGGCGGTCGTGTCGCTGCAGTTATCTGCGGCGAGTGCAATGTCTTTAAAAACAACGGCGCTACGCCCCTCGAAATAAAATTAATGCCGCGGTGCGTGCACGCTCTGAGATTCAGCGTGGAACGGGACCCCCACCCAGCAACTTGCAGTCATCTCGGAATGGTAGAGGGTTAAGCTGTTTCCATGGGATCGACAATCAATTTAACAAATATCGATATCCACTGGCTTAAGTCTGTCATACAGTAGCTCGCATCTGTCACGTCTGTATGCACACAGACTCCTCTGTCAGACCGTGACATTTTTGGTGTGAAAATCACATCAACATGCATTAAAACTAAATTATTTCTCCCCCTTATCAAGAAAGCGCAGCCAGCAGTGTTTTAGTGAACTCTAATGGTGTCAAGTAGCTTACGCCCCCGGCACTTTACACTCCAACGAAATAGCTACTGGTGTTGTAGAGGTAGAATGAGACTTGTATGTACGTTTATGTGTTATAGGTCTCTATAAGTGTGTGTGTGTGTGTGCACGCGCCTTTGTGGGGAGCGGTAGCTACAAACCCGGTGACCCAAGTTCGATTCCTGCCCATGACCAACACCAGTGAAGATTATCTCAACTGATCCTGGGCCTCTCCTAGGTCGACTCAGCCTTAAATACGTACCTGATACGGTGTGGAAACATCGCCACTGGGGATAAAGAGGCAGTCAGGCATGGTTCTGGCCACCCACCCCCTCGTGTTCTGTGCTGGGCTTCATAGGTGCTCGCTAACAGCACTTGCCCCACAGACTGTTAAAAGGCTATCGGGGGATCTTTGTATTTGTACGTGTTCATGTGGTAGACAGCAGAGTGGTTAGGGCAATAAGGGCCATGCTCCCATCTCCATGGTGCTGAAGATTCAACTCTTACAGCTGTCTGGTTATTGTCTCCAGGGAGTTTACCAAAGCATGCTTCCTGTTGTCGACAAGAAATACCCCCATTTCATTATTGTTTAGCCGGTGTTATAGCCCAACTGCCCAATTTGATAATGGCCTGCAATGTAAGCGTGATAATAAAACAAATTTCGATTGAAAGCTTTCGTGGCTGCATGGATTCATATTCTTGGTTCTTTCGGTAAAGTCACAGAGAAGAGAAATAATAAAAATAAAACATACAAAAATATTATTTTAATAAGAAAAGAAAATCAATATTTGAACCATCTGTCTAACTACAGATTAGTAAGCCCTGATGAAACAGGGATAATCTAACTCAATGAACTCACCTGATAAAGTACAATGCGGGCGTGTGTTTACACACACAATAATTATATGTGCGTTGCATCATCACATTATTGTTACTGCTTGTGCATCACTATTCGCACCTGTTAATGAACATACATTGCATGTGATACAAGCTAGCTACTGTAGCGTGTTGTGAACTCATTCCACATCAAAGTGACCGCACATTAACCGCATACTTCCTGTTGGGTCTCGATGAAGGACACGGATTAAAAGACCGAACGCAGGTTAAATATGTTATTTTAACCATTAAAACAAGTACGTGGGCTTGTACAGGACATATCAGAAGAAGGGTTCTGGCTGATGGTCAAGCATAATGACGGAGTGGCTGCCAAAGGTATGGAATGTACCCAAGTGGACGTCCGCTTAGCATATGTAGCATGGAAATCTTTTCATGTGCAAGGGCTAAATAGCTTGTGACATCACAGGATTCTGAGAGGTTGCCTTCATCCAGCAGTGGATGGAACATGGCTACTGCTGCTGATCATGATTGGAGGAGGAGGAGGAGGAGGGGGATGAAGGCCATGATTACCGCGTCCATTAAATCAAACATTATTGAATCGCCCCTCTTGTTATTCACTGCCTTAGCTGGTCACAAAATTCCACCCAATATTGCGCGCAGCAAAAAAAAATCAGACGTTGTTTTAGCGAGCACAAAAATCACAAAGGCACTTTATCTTCAATATCCAGCCCATTTATTTACAAAACCTTTCTTTGCTCGTACACCTTGACGCATTGTATATTCTCCACAATTGGGAGTGTTTTACTCGGATCTAATAGAATACAGAAAACGATTCTGCGCACCGCTCCCGTCGGTAGGAGAGTCAACTCTCATTCTCTAAGAAGACACTAAGCTCCTGCCATGGGCATGTGGATTTTCCAGTGCCATCTCAGGGCCCACCGATGGAGATAAGTGCCACCCCATCGCTTGCGTCAGCAGGGAGATACCTTGGAGAATAAATACTCATTGCGAATGGGCAAAGCACCTTACCTCACACGCGGGACCAGCTTTTACCGAGACGTACACACATCACCTGCTTTTTTTTTTTCAGTGGAGCTAATAGCCAGGTTTTGTTTGCCATAACAGCTATTTGGCACTTAAGTCCATGATGCATCGGTTCACAAAAAGGATTTGGGATTTGGGCAGTAAAACCATTCTGATGTAAATTCAATACAAGCTCAAATGAGCACACGTTAAAATGAAACCCTCGTGTCCGCAAAGCAGTGCAAAGCACTTGATGACCCACTTTTCAAAATGTTCATATATTTTGTATGTATGCACTCTGCAGCAGAGTATGTGTGCGGTCATGCTAAACTATTAATTTGATGATGTCTGCCCATTATATCAGTATCAGTACAAAAGTGCTGAAAGTTGGTGCAAGGTTTTCTCATGATTGGTATAATTTAATTTCTCACACTTTGCCACTATCCGATGTGCTCTTTGGAATTTCTCGGTATGAAATGCTGTATGACGCCGGATGCCGTGTGCATGCCTGCGTGTATGAGTGGGGAGTGACTGAGCAGTGTGTTTCGGGTGCTGCGCTACAAACCCAGCAACATAGGTTTGATTCCCGAACATGACAGACTTTGAATAGCCATTGATATACAGGGTATCTATAAAGTTTCTGTCCATTTTATTGAACGAATGGTGCATATACAAATATTTCGTGTGTGTTTCCTTTCAGGAACCTATGAATAAGAACGTATAACAGCGTGTCGACGGTATTAACACTTGCAATAAGATGGGGGCTGCTTGTCGTTACGCAAACATCGTGACGGGAGAACCTTGATGAACGATTTCCAAACCGCTGGATTGGATGCAGCGGCGACAGACCCTGGACGGCTCCGACTTCGGATTTAACGCCTTTCGGGTTTCTTTGCATGGGGCTTAATCAAGTCAGAGGTGTATCTAACAAGAGGTACAGATCTTCAATATTTACTAAATCGTGTAAAGGGGGGGGGGGGTGGGGCTGCAGTTACGAAAATAACTCCACAGATGTGCAGAGATACTGACGGTGCTCACGTAGAATCCAATGATTAAGTGCTATTAATAAATACGCCTCTGATTATATTATTGCATAATTTACCATAAATTGCTTTGATTTCCATGAAGTAGATTGGGAACTTTATGGACACCCTGTATGAACTGGCTGTGGGGCCTCCCCTGAATATGACTCATTCTTACATGAGTGCCAAAAAGACAGAAGTGGCTGGGCGTGGTCTGGCCAAACCAGCTCTTTTGTACCGTGCCGGTCTTAACATGTGTTGGCTAACAACACTTGCCCTCGAGTATAGTTCAAATGTTCATTAAGGGCTGTGAGGTGGCCAGGTGATGGCGATACAATAATGGGTTCTTTAATATACCTGTGTGGGGCTTTCAGTGTTACCCGGTTGTATGTGTGGTTTTTTTTTCCGTGTATTCTGATTTCCTCACGAAAAAAAATCCAAACGTTAATAAATGACTAAAATTTTGATTGAAAGCTTTCGTGACTGCAGAGATTCATATTCTTGGCTCTTTCGGTAAAGTTGCGTAGAAGAGAAACAATAAAATAATAAAAATATAAAACAATAAAATTCTCACGACGTTTCGACTGCACCACAAACAATCATCATCAGGTGGGAAAACCACAGCAAGAAAATTTTAAAAAAATTAAAAAAGTGGCGGTTTTTAACGTTAGCAGCACGGAGAGCGATTTGGTAGTCATTCAGATGGACGAGTCCATCTATGTTGGGAAAAGAGGAGGGGGGAGATGAAAATAATGGATGCGGTCTGAAAGCCACCGTAAGCATGAACAATCAATTAAGACCCGAAATGGTTTATCAAATCCTTCCAATGATTGCTAAGCAAGAATCCATCTTCTCGGTTGAAATTGTCTCTGTGTTTGTATATGTGGATAGCCTCATGAACGCATCTCTCATGGTAGCCAGATGGCTTGCAAATAACCTCTGTCTTGGAGAAGTCAATGTCATGTGAGCCTACTGAATTATAACAGTGATCTGCCACGGCCGAGGTGTTGGTCCTACCGTGTTTTAGGTCTGCTTTGTGTTCATGAATGCGGTCCGAGACATGTCGTTTGGTTTCTCCAATGTAACTACTACCACAGAGGCAACTTAGTTTGCCAGTATGGGTTACCTTCCTGTACACAGAGTGGCTCATTGAGCCATCTGGTCTCTTTTTGATTAAGGCATCCAAGAAGGGTAGCAGCTCTTTGATTGGTGTAGACCTACTGCCAGTGTTGGAGACTTCTACATTAACATTAGCTGCCCCGCCCATCTCTAAACCTTAATAAACAGCCGGCCTCAGCAGCTTTCCCCCTCTTTTTTCTCCTGATGACGATTGCTTGTGTTGCGATCAAAACGTCGTGATATTTTGATTATTTTTATTCACTTTATTTTCAGTGTTATTTTTATTATTTTTTTGCTTTTTTTCTATTCACGTGACTTTACCAAAAGAACCATAGAATATGAATTCCTGCAGTCAAAATTTTACACTGGCTTTATAATGTTCATCATAATAATTTTCTGATAACGTTAATACGTCGATTAAAAATAGCAGGCTTTTTAGACTATCACTGGGAGAAAGGGAAGTGCCGGACATGTTGTGCAGGTGGCCTTCTTCAGAATATATTCAGGTCTTGAGAGACAGCTCCTGAAATAGTCTTGTTTAGTTAAGGTCAGGCAGTGGGTGTTATCAGATCAATATTGCGTTAAAATAAGTTTACATTTGGATTATCTGACTGAAGTTCAAAAAGTGTCATGAATGTGTGGACATTCCATTGAGCGCGGTATATTATTACCAAATTCTTTGAATTATAAGATGCTCCTAAAAGTATGACACACCCCAAAAACGTGTGCCTGGTGTCAAAAGAGTTATACAAATAGGGACAACATTGATGGCAAATATTCCCCATATAGTTTTAACAGACTGTTGGGGCAAGTGTGGGGTGCTGGCATATACTCTTTGTTTTTTTCGGTAAAGTCACGTAGGTAAAATAAAATAAATGAAAACAACCAAATTAAATCACGACGTTTCGGAGGCAACACAAGCTTCCGTCTTCAGGTGGAACAGTCGCTGAAAAAACCAAAGAGTATGAATCCTTGCAGTCACGAAAGCTTCAAATCTAGAAATAGAAAGTGCTGGCCAGCCAAGCACACGATGGAATAGGTGGACAGCACCGCACCCGGTCGCCGTTGTCCCCCTAGTGGCGACGTTTACACACCGCACCAGGTACTCATTTTAGGCTAAGTTTACCTAGGGGAGGCTCAAGACCGGTTCAAATAATCGTCACTGGCGTTGGCCGTGAGCAAAGATCTAACGCGGGTCGCTGTGTTTGTAGCTCTCCAAAAGAAAAACCCAAATATCCCCTTCATAGCCTTAACAGACTGTTGGGGCAAGTGCTGTTAGCGAGTATCTATGAAGACAGGCACGGCACACGAGGGGGTGGGTGGACAACACCACGCCCGATCGCCTTTGACTCCTCAGTGGCGATGTTTTCACACACCGCAACAGGTACACATTTGAGGCTGAGTCGACTTAGGGGAGGCTCAGATCCGGTTCAGATAATCGTCACTGGTGTTGGCCATGAGCGGGAATCGAACTTAGCAAAGTGCGCTAATAGGGACACAGACAACGATTCGCCGTATAGCCTGAAGAGACCGTTGGGGCAAGTGCTGTTAGCAAGCACCCGTTAAGGCCGGCCCAGCACACGATTGAGTGGGTGGCCAGCACCACGCTCAGCGGCTAAGGGACACACACACACATGCACCTAACGGATGATAAGAATCACCCTTAACTTTCGCTTAAGTTGGGAGAAGTCCACCTTATAATTGAGACAATATGGTCTCAACACCATGCAAGCGTGGACATCCCATTCAGCGTTTGCACCGTTTGTCCATACGCAACTGCTGATGACTCTGCTTCCTGTTACGAGCGCGGCGAGCGGTGCGACTCACTGAGCACGGTGAGGTGGGCGGGCCGGGACCGCAACGCTGCCTGCGTGGCCTGGCACTCGTAGACGGCGTCGTCGGCGAGCTCGGCGCGTGACACCTGCAGGTTGTGCTCACCACCCTGCGTGCTGCCCACGATGGAGTAGCGCGGCCAGCCTGCGGGCGCGACCACCGCCAACACGCAGAGCGTTAGAGCGGCAGCGACGGCGGCGACGGCGACGCGGGTGATAACAGTGACGATGAAAATGCCGCAACAATAACGATGCCACAACGACAACAATGCCATGACAATAGAAATATCACGACGATAACAGTGCCCATATACTAGAGGTTTTTGGGTTTGATCGCCACTGCAAATAACGCATCAGAGAGCTACCGAAGAGCACAAACCGCGGGAAGCCTTGTGCAGAAGCATGTAAATCAGGGGTCTCAAACTCGCGGCCCGCGGGCCAATTGCGGCCCGCGGAACGATATTTTGTGGCCCCCTACTTGACATCAATTTTTTTTTTTACCATAGCTCAGGCACGTGACAGCTTCCGGTGTTTGTTGACGGTAAATGTTTTGGCGGCATGAAGCTTGTGTAAAAAAAAACATAAATTAGCCGCAGTGTTCAAAGCGTGTAAAAAAAAGTAGCGGCTTATAGTCCGGAAATTACGGTAGTTTTTTTTATTAACTTTTTTTCTATTGTTATTAAATGTGTTTTTTTTGTTGTCACCCAGCCCCAGTCACGTCTTTCTCAAAACCTGCCTTGAAGAGAAAGGTTGGCGACGAGCACAGACAATTTCAGGAAAAGTGGGAGACGGAATATTTTTTTTGTTGAGCACAGGGGCACTCCGACGTGTCTTATATGCACAGAGAAAGTTGCGGTGCACAAGGAATACAACATCAGACGTCATTACTTAACTAGACATACTGAGGAGTATGCAAAATACCAGGGAGATGAGATGAGAGAGAGGACCGGGTCGCCAATCTTAAAACATGTCTACTTAGGCAACAACATTTTTTCAAGAAAGCAAGCAAAGAGAGTGATGCAGCAGTCGAAGCTAGCCTACGTGGTGAGTGAGATGATTGCTAAGGCGGGAAAGCCATTCAAAGACGGCGAGTTCATCAAAAAGTGCATGTTGCAGGCTGAAAGTATAGTCTGTCCGGAAAAGAAGGGTCAGTTTAGCAACATTAGCCTTTCAGCCAACACAGTGGCAGAGCGCATTTCTGACCTGTCAGGTAACATATACGATCAACTGCGTGAGAAAGCCAACACATTTCCGTGCATACCCAGTCGCTCTTGATGAGAGCACAGACATCACTGACACTGCGCAGCTCGCAATGTATGTCCGTGGTGTTGACGACAATTTTGAAGTGACGGAAGAGTTGCTCACAGTGAAGCCAACGCATGGCCAGACCACCGCTCAGGAGATATCCCGCCATCCGTGTGATGCCATTGTGGATGCCGGTTTACCATGGGAGAGGTTTGCTGGAATAACAACCGACGGAGCGCCATCAATTACAGGGAGGAGAAATGGACTGGTGGCACTTGTTCAAAGAAAGCTGGAAGAGGAGGGTGTGGAGGAGGCCATTGCTCTGCACTGCATTATCCATCAGCAGGCCCTTTGCAGCAAATGCCTGAAGTTTGACAATGTGATGTCTGTCGTTGTGAAATGCATCAACCATATAAGATCCAGGGGCTTAAAGCACCGGCAGTTCCGCGCCTTTTTAGAGGAAATAGAGTCAGCATATGAGGATGTGCTCTACTTCACCGAGGTACGTTGACTCAGCAGGGGAAACGTCTTGAAGATGTTTTTTGAGTTAAGAGCAGAAGTGAAAGCCTTCTGGAGAATTATGGGATGGCTGTTCCTGTGCTAAGTGATCCCAAATGGCTCATGGACTTAGCTTTTCTTGTTGACATCACACAGGAGCTGAATGTACTGAACAAGAAGTTACAAGGCCAGGGGCAGCTTGTCAGTGCTGCCTATGACAAAGTCAGAGCATTCTCCACAAAACTTGTGTTATGGAAAGCCCAGCTCTCTCAGACAAACCTCTGCCATTTCACAGCATGCAAGGCACTCATGGACGCGGGCACACCATTCAGTGGTGAGAAGTATGCTGATGTCATTGTAAAGCTACAGGAGGAATTTGATCACAGGTTTGCAGACTTCAAGACACACAGAGCCAATTTTCAAATATTTGCTGACTCCTTCTCCTTCGATGTGCAAGATGCCCCTCCTCTGCTTCAAATGGAGCTAATCGACCTGCAGTGCAATTCTGAACTCAAAGCCAAGTTCAGGGAGGTGAGTGCAAAAGCAGACAAGCTTGGACAATTTTTGAGAGAATTGCCCCCCACCTTCCCTGAGCTTTCCATGATGTTCAAGCGGACCATGTGCCTTTTTGGGAGCACATATCTGTGTGAAAAGCTCTTCTGCACCATGGACTTTAATAAGTCAAAGTACAGGTCCAAACGTAGTGATGATCATCTTCAAGCCATACTGAGGGTCTCAATTGCTTCCTCCCTCAAGCCAAATGTGGCTCAGCTGTGTAAGAAGAGGAAGCGCTGCCAGGTCTCTGGCAACAAGGAGTAGGTAAGAGAAGCCTATGTTCTGAAGAACCGTTCATGTTCTGAACTGTTATTAATAAAGATTGAGAAGATTGGATCAGTTGTACTTTTTTTTGGAATACTTGATGCGGCCCAGCCTCACCCAGACTCTACCTCCAGCGGCCCCCAGGTAAGTTGAGTTTGAGACCCCTGATTGTAAATCTTTTCACTGCATTGCGTTGGTCAAATTCTTGCTAATTGCATTAAAAAGTCGTGTTGAAAGAATTGTATTGGGTGTTTAACGAGATTATAGCACGTGCTTCAGTTGAAAATAAAATATTTCTGGACATTAACTCTTTTTATTTCTTATTCCAGTGCTTGTTTGTGGTCACGTCCAGGAAGCACAAGAGTGATTTCGCAATGAGCCTCTGTTTGCAACAGGCACACAAACAATTAAAATGAATAACTGGTGCATTTCAACACATGTAAGCTCCAGAGTTTGCATGCATAACCAATGCTGCCGAGTAATATTTACTTTGGAAAGCTGATGCAATAAAAAAATAAATGCATTAATTGTCATGCTGAGAGATGAGCGTAGCCCTTTATTAATTTTAATGGAGTGGTCGAGAATGGCAACAGCCGAGGAACGGAAAGCCACCGAGAGTATGCCCGCAGGGGAGATGGAGCAATGAAATTAGTTTGTGCGCAGGTCCTGGGTGGATTGTTTCATTCTAGGATGATGTGTGGGGTCGTGGTGGTGGTGGCTGCTTTGAGGAGGCCTTCATCCAGTGGTACACCAATCAGTGTGTACATATGTAAGGCTGACAACGTTTTAAACAGTTTCTGAGGACAGGCCCAAATGACCAGAAAAAATCTAACGGACAACAACAACCAGGTTTTAACATGGCATAGAATTTTCGAAGATGACCACTGCAAAGGAAAGAAGCAGACAGAAAATTGTTTTGACCTGCAGTGTCGTGGTTTAACACTGAATGAGACAAAACAGTCAGTCTGGTTGACCGGATCTTCAACATAGGTGGGGGGAATTAATGAGTGAACCATGGTAGCAGCGAGAGACGGGTGATAAGGAGGTGACTGACCGCCAGTGAGCCGGTGACCGGAGTGAATCAGCGGATGCCTGACCATCGATCGACGTAACTGCTGTTCGTTGAACTCTATCCGGTGCAGTGAATTGGGAGCTGGGTGCTCCACCCCAGCAAGAGTATTTCCAACTTCGGCCATATTTGTGCTTCGTTGAGTACAGATAATAACAATTGTTTGTAGATAAAGGAAGTTATCTCCCCAAATTAGGAACATAGCCATTCCATGACAGGTCAGATAAGGCTGTTGCACCAATCAGATGAATTGTTCTTCTATGAATAAGAATATCATCGTTCAATATATTGGGAGGAACTTTGGTGATTGTATTGTATTCGAGTCAGTGGTGATTTATAACGAAGTATCTAGACAGGGTTGGGCAGCTCGAGGTGTTTTCAGATTGTTATTTAAATAAGTATCATGCTTAAAGTGTCCTACCATCGGCAAAGCTGTGGCCCATATTGTGAGTGACAGATAGGAAGCCATTAATAGATGGAATAAATAAAGTTGGAGGCAAAACAGATCCTCGTGTTCACGCTGGAATTGATGGGGAAGGTATTAGATTGGCCACCATCAACCACCGTATGTATTGACCCATCCATTAGAAAGCTTGAACTCCAGGCTTGGCGATTGGGATGGATGCCAAATGAGGGCACCTTGACAATTTAGAGTGGGATGTGTATCCTGCATGTGTCAAAAACGAATGCGCAGATTATTAACATGGTCTAAATATATAATGTGCAGTTGTTACAATCCATTTCTTTCCAATGTTTGCAAAGTAACTTGTCAGATTCTAATTTGTATGTCCATGATCAATTTGGGCAGGTGGGAAGGTGTTTGAGCGGCGGCATAGTTGTTAGCGCACTGCACTACGAACCCAGTGACCTGAGTTTGATTCCTGGCCACGGCAAAATGGACAAATGCTATCAGGCCTCATGCAGGGCCCTGCTACTCTTCACCAACCTCCAGTCACCAGCATGGTGAAGTATGGTTAAATAATCCCCATAAGCAGCACATTGTGAGAAGCCTTCATCCAGCAGTGAATACAAAAGAGGCTAAGCGCTATATTTATTTTAGCCAGAAAGATGCTGATTGAGATTAATTATTTAGTAATTAATATTTCCAAGCGACCAAATGTATGATTAACGCTTGACATCACAGGGCAGCCACTGTTCGCTTTACAAGGGGCATGTGCGTACATACTGCCTCATACATGCGCAGCAATTGTGCTGATACACAGCAAGGCAAATAATGTCATTCGCATATCGTTTAATTGCCCACTTAATTTCAGAATTTTCTTGTAATTGTTCCACGTAACAAGTGGTGCTCTTAATTGCGTGCTTCAAGCAACGAAAGCCATCCCACCCATGTCGATATTTCACCCCATCGCAGTGAACTATTGTAATACCGTACAACTCTTAGCTTCAAAACTGGCTCACAAATTATCCATTAAAAAAAGAAAATAGCGGGTGGTAATGTTGTACACAATGCGGGCGCCACTGTAAAAAAATGGCGCGTGAACAGGGAACAC